AGTTTCAAATTAGAAGTCTATCTTAGGACAATATTCTTGGAGGTTCCTCCAGTCTTTTTCAGACCAGAAAGTCTGGTCTTTTTTCTCTTTTTCAAAAAATTTTTTTCTACATTTTTTACCCATTCTAACTGGGACTTTCTATTGTGGTTCTGGTTAGAGAGTTCAATAGTGGTAGCTGGGTACCACCTAGTTCTCTTAGTCTCAGGTTAGAGGAGGTTGTGGCTCCTATGGGCCACTAGTCTTTTGGACTAATTGGTTGCTTGAGTCTTTGATTTTCTTCATTCTCCTTTGTTCCAGGTAAGAAAAGATCAATAGTTGCTTCCTTAGATGGCTGCTTGCAAGCTTTTAAGACCCTAGACATTACTCAACTCACCAGACTAGGATGCAGAACATTATATTTATGAACTGTGTTTTGCCAATTGACCTAGATGTCCCCTGAGACTATGGTCCTTAGCCTTCAAATCTAGTAGTTCAGTACCGATGTCTAAATAGTTTCTATATCTGTGGCCCCCATGTACTCTATTATATGTATGAGTGTACATGTAGCATTTGCAAATTTATATGTAGAAATCTCCACAACCATACCTATATATATATGGTGTATGCCTGTATGACCTCCCTCACCTATTTAGCATGCATATTGATTTATGTATCTATTCACAAGTTGTGATTACTGTTGTTACAGGATTCCCAATTATCCTTTATTAAATATTAGAGGCATTCTCATTAAAATTATTAAAAAGATGAAAAAACATTTTTTTTCCAGGACTAATATTGAACATTGACCTGGAAACCCTAGCCAAAACAATAAGACAGGAGAGATAAAACCAAAACAAACCCACTGCCATCAAGTTGATTCCAACTCATAACAGCCTTATAGGCCAGAATAGAACTGTCCCACAGGTTTCCAAGGCTGTAAATCTTTATGGACATTGACTGCTTCATCTTTCTTCAGTGGAGTGGTTGGTGGGGATAGCAGGACAAATAATGGAAAAGAAAATAATTAAACAGAAGTTTAATTATTTGCATACAGGAATGTTCATATGAGAACTAACATGAGTGTTACTATACACATTCAGCAAAGTAGTCATATACAAACTCCAAAAAAAACCCAACTCACTGCCATCGAGTCAGATCCAACTCATAGCGACCCCTCCTTGGGTTTCTGAGGTGGTGTCTCTATAGAAGTAAATTGTCCAGTCTTCCTTCTGAAGGGTGGCTGGTGGGTTTGAACCACCAGCCTTCTGGTTATCAGTCAAATGCTTTAGGCACTAGGCCACCAGAGCTCCCAGGCATATATAAGGTCAACTTAAAAAAAAACTCAGAGATAGTATATCTGCTTACTACAATGATACAGTAATATGTTATAGAATTACTCTCCTGCTTAAATCACATAGAATACCAGACAAAAATAGGAAAAAAAAAAAAACAAAAAAACTATATTCAGACATCAGGTAACAAATAGTACAGGACTGTTACAACTGAGAAAATGGAAATGAAGTAAGCCCTACCACTGCCCTCACTTCTTGCATGGAGTCAATTTCCAGACTGTGGAACAGGGTTGGGGAAAATCAAACAGAGCTCAGTAACCTTGCTGATATGAGACAGCAGAGAACAGAGTTTGAGGAATTCAAAGGAGCTAGAATTTTTCAGAGAAGCATAGCTGAGACAGGAAATTATAAGAAGAGAGAGTTCTTGAAATTTGTATAGGGGTTCCCTGTATGTATGGCTGAATACCAGTTAGTGAAAACATAGAGTAAAATCCTACAAGCCTGGACAAGTATACTTCCTGAAGAAAGAATTATTGAGAAAATTAAAATGAATATCCAGAGCTCACAGAAATCTTGGAAGCCTTCAAATTCCCACCAGGTGGAATGGAGAGACCTCATCAAACACATAGGATTCAGTGGAGACTCAGAAGGGCCACATTTGAATCGGGGGCTAAATTAGCCCTACAGTAAAGGCTACTCTAGATCTTCCCTAAAAGATATTTAAAACAAGTCTTGAAAGGATCAAATAATTAACAATAAACTAAAACTTCCTTATGGGACAAAGTCTAACCTCTTGAAAAAAAATGACAAAATCCAGAGTTTGACATTGTAAAATCTGAAACATCCAGCATCTAATCAATGATCTTATTAAGAGATATAAACATACAAAGAGACAGGATAATGTAACCAATAACTAAGAGAAAAAAATCAGTCAGTACAAACAGACTCAGAAATGACAGAGATGATGGAACTGGTAAATGAATACATTAAAATAGCTATTATAAATATATTGCATGTACTCAAGAATTTGAAGGAAAACATGAACATAATGATGAGATAAGTGGAAGATGTGGTGAAGAACAAAGTGAATCTTTAAAATTTTTTTTTAAAAGCAGTATCTGAATAGAAAACTTCATTGTGAAAGATTAGTAGAAGGTTATATACTACAGAATAAAAAATCAGTAAACTTGACGACATTACAATAGAGTATATCCAAAATAAAGTACAGAGAGCAGCATGATTAAAACAAAATAATGTATCAGGGACCTATGGACTCTAACACAAGTGTAATTGGAGTTCCAGGAGAAGAGGAAAGAGAAGGAGGAAAAAATATTTAAGAAATAATGGCTGAAAAATTTTCCAATTTGATGAAAAGTTATAAAACTACAGATACAAGAAGCTCAACGAAGCCCAAACAGGATAAACACAAAGAAAACCAGAATATGGCACATCATAAGCAAACTGCTGAAAAGCACTGATAAAGAGATAAGCTTACAGGTCCCCAGAAAATAAAAGCACACTGCATACAGAGGAACCACAGTATCTTCTTGACAGAAAATATGCAAAGCAGAAAACAATTAAAAACATTTTTTTTTTAAGTAAGAGAAAAAAAATCTCATCACTCTAGAATTCTACATTCAACAGAACTAAATGACTCCCTAAGTTACAGAGTTGTTGTTGTTGCTATTAGGTGCCATTGAGTAGCCTCTGAGTCATAGCGACCCTGTGTACAAAAGAATAAAACACTACCTGGTCCTGTGCCATCCTCATAATCCTTGCTATGCTTGAGCCCATTGTTGCAACCACTGTGTCAATCCATCTCATTGCCAGAGTAGAATAGTTGTTACACAGTAGAACTGTTTTCTAGCCTTTCAGATCGTTCTCAGCTACTAACCCAAAGGTTGGCAGTTAGGAATCCACTCAGTGGTGCTGCAGAAGAAAGGCCTGGTGATCTGCTTCCGTTAATATTACAGCCAAGAAAATCCAATGGAGCAGTTCTACTCTGTAGTACATGGGTCATCATGAGTCAGAATGAACTTGATGGAAATGAGTTTACACAACAATAAAAAGAACGAACTACATGTTTCAACATGGACAGACTTCAAACATATTACTGATAGAAAAGAGCAAACTGTATGTGAACATTATTTCATATGATTTATATAAAAGTATGCAAAATAATACTTTTTTTTTCTGTGGGCCCATTTATTATTGTTAGGTGCTGTCAAGTCAGTTCCTACTGATAGCAACCCTATGTACAACAGAATGAAACATTGCCTAGTCCTGCATCAGCCTCACAATCCTTGTTATACCTGAGCCCATCATTGCAGCCATTGTGTCAATCCATCTTGAGGATCTTCCCCTTCTTTTCTGACCCTTTACCAAGCATGACATCCTTCTCCAGGGAACAGTCCCTCTGACAACATGACCAAAGTAGGTGAGACAAAGTCTGGCCATTCTCACTTCCAAGCAGCATTCTGGCTGCACTTCCTCCAGGACAGATTTGGGTGTTCTCCTGGCAGTCCACAGTATTTTCAGTATTCTTTGCCAACACCACAACTCAAAGGCATCAGCTTTTCTCAGGTCTTCCATGGGCTCATATATATGTACTTTAGAAGTCTGTATGATTATTTTTAATGGTTTAGATAACATAAAATTCCTAAGAGTCACTTTGGCTAAGGGTATTGTTGTTGTTGTTATGT